TATATAACCATTGGTTGAAAGTATAACATAAATTTTAAGATAATACTTGGAACATCTCATATAAAATGATGGAATAAATAGTTTCGTCATGGATGATTAATAACTGATAAATATATAAGCACATGTTAGTTTGACAATGTGAAAATTGACCTAAATTGTGAGCAAATGACTACAAAAGGATAGCACAAAAGATTTGCAACCAACTGACACACTGTATGTATATAAAAAGGAAGATGGTTTTATGTTTTTATGTTTTGTATGTGTATGTTTGTTTTTAAAAATAAAAATTCTTTATAATAAAAAAAATTTTTTTTCTAACTAGGAAGCTAAATTGAGATCAGTCCCAAAAGTGCTTTTTTGAGCTTTTTCTATGAGAAGTGAAACATCTTCAAAGAAAAACCAGAAAGTCCAGTTGTCACTTGAAAAAGCACTTTTGGGATAATCATGACTTGGATAACTGAGAATCTCCATACACATTGAAGAGGTCAATCTTTCTAATCATCTATATTTGTAACTAAAATAAACTTGTCTCTGATGATGGCTTTACAAGTCAAAGTAAATGTATAACTGAGGCAAACTTAGCGGGTAGATTGTAGATTTGCCTACCTGACAAGATATAATAGTATTATAAAATTTGGAGAAGCATTATAGAGATACACCATTCTCCAAGACATCTCCATTGAATGATATAAGAAACTATAACTGTTAAATATCTGTCTGATATAATTTTTTCCAGCAAAATTTTTATTTGAATAATTATGGATGCTCAACATCTGCCTATCCCAGAACTTCACTGGAGGCCGATTATTACTATTATTATTGAATACACAGAATGAATAAGAGGCAAAGCTGTACAATAGAAAGTAGTTGACAATCAGTACTTCAACATAACCTGTTTCTTTGCTTTTAATTTCCCATGGCCGAAAAGTTAAAAATACAAGGATGGAACTGATCTCAATTTGCTTTAAATGTTGTGCTTTAAATAAGTATGATTTATCAACATTTAGTGGAGTATTATTCACAGTAAAGTAAATACATTATTCCTCTGAAGCTAAGAAAAAAATTGTATTATTTTTCAGCGTTGCATTTAATACTAGAACTTTAGTTGCCAAGGTGCTCTTTCAACCTTCTTTCAGGAATGAGGATCCTCTTATCAGCAAGAATTCATTCCACTACAAAGGTCTAGCAATTGATCCTCCATCCAAGTGGCTAAGTCATTTCGATGTTCCCTCAGCCATGCAGTAGCTGCTTATAGATAAGTGAATCCCACAAGCCACCCAGCAGAATATTTAAAAAGACACACAAGCCATGTCATATTGGCTAGCAGGCAGGCAGATACATTTCTAAATTGACAATTAAAGGAAAGAAGAAAAAAGATTCTTGGCACATACAAAATTTCTAAGGATTAACAATAAGAATCAAACTAAAGACAAGAAGAGTTTATTTGTGCTGGAAGACAAAATAGCAGGCATTCTGGTTTATAGAGTTGAAACACAATGAGGGAACTTCATGGGTGAGGGCCACACTTAATTTTTTTAGGGGAAGCCAAGTCTACAATGGATGAGTTGATGATACAAAGTGAATATTGGATGTTTCATGTCACATTTATTGGCAGGAACAGAATTTGCATATTATTTTTAGAGTTGAGGATTTTTTCATTTAGTTTTCATTTATTAAAACTGTTATAAACCTATTTTAGCATTTACAATATATATGTTTATACTGTGTCATCAAAGTGGAAGCCAAACAAATAACTAATTTGGGGAAATTGTGCTCCTGATGCTTTGGGCTCTGCTTCAAAGAGGCTGAGATTTTTAGGTTGTCCCTCTTTAGAACAAATGCTTTTGCTATATCATTTTGAAACAGAAGTGTACAATCTGATGTTCCGGAGATTTCAACCGCCTCCTAAAACATTGTCTGACTCCCCTTGAGTCTCTCCAAAAGGTTCCATTAAATTATATTATTTAATGATACTGAAAGTGAAATTATTAAAATGTATACCTTGCAATTATGTTAAGGTTTTTAAAAAGGTAAAGGGTAAAGGTTCATGTCCAACTCTAAACAGTCATGCTCATCTCTGCCCTAGCTGAGATTGTCCAAAGATGCTTCCATACACATGGCCATGGAAGTATCAGAGGTTCACAGAATATTGTGACTTTGTCACCAAAGTTGTATTTATTTATCTACTTGCATTTATCTGCTTTCGAACTGCTAAGGTGGCAGGAGATGGGGCAACAATGTGAGCTCACCTTGTCATGCAGTAGTTGAGCCTTCCTTGGGAATATTCTTCCTACAGAGGTTGGAGGGCACCAACCATTTTGGTTTTTTTGGAAAACCTTGAAGACTGGTTGCGTGTCTGGGACGAGGGCCTTGTTTGTGTGAATGGACTTGTTTCCTGGTCATATTAATATATATGGATTACAGTAATTATTGGCTACCATATCTATTTAATTCTCTCTTTTTTTGGTATTCTGTTTATAATTCTTTAATTGATTCTATGATTGGTTTCTATCCAGAGTCATTTGCTTGAGATGGGTAGTCATACAAATTGAATAAATAAATGAATTCCCCAAAACCTAGCACTGGTATAAACAAGACTCTTGGACAAAGAAAAACAAGTATAGATATTTACACTAACCTTAACCTTACATCTTTGCAAATGTGTATTCAAATATATTGCTCCTCCCCCAAATATTAATTCTCATTCTCATTGGACTAGTCAATATGCATTATGCTGTTTGCACTACAGTTGTTCTCTGTTTGCATTTTATGCAAACTGCACAGATATGCAAATGTTTGTACATTAGAAAGTAAACTGAACTTTCTTGATACTAATAAAGATCATTTCCATACAATTTGATTATCATGAAAACTATCTTTGATTATCACATACTTGAAAATATTTTCCATTATGTTACATATTGGAAACTGCTCATCTGATTTGGTTAGTATTGAGGAGATCTCTTAATTTGCCATCTCATGAAGAACTATAGCTACTGAGTGTGGGGCATGGCAAAGAGATAATTTCATGTAAATAAAAAGACACTTACTCTTCTGATTATAAGATATACAACAAGGATATAAGCCTGTATCTATCTTTGAAAAACTGTTGTTCTAATAACAACAAAATAAAACAATTTGTTTCTACATATACTAAAGTTTGAGTATATTTTATATTGCTATTGATAGATATATGGGTGTTTTTCTTTTTTTCTATTAAATTATTTTATTTTCTTTCTTTTTCACACTAGTGTATTTTATTCACCACAATATCTAGTTTTTTCCTTGACTATATAGCTATTATTATTTTATTTTTTGCTGATGGTACTATAGTTTGCCTTTCATTATTAAAAATTAATTAAATAATACTGTTGATATTTCTAAAGTGACTTTCTTTTTTCCCAAGGTTATTAGTTCCCTAATAATAAAATTTGCTTTGGGAATTTAGAAATGGCAATACTGTTTTCTAGAAACTATGCAGATAATTATAATCACCATTAATCTTGTTTTATTCTGTCAGGTTTGTATAATGCAGCTGCAGTCATAACCAATACATTCAATTTTTGTACAAATATTTGAACTAAAGTTTATAATATCCTTAAAGCCAAATAATAAAATGTTTTTATTCAGTACCTACTGTATCATATAAAAGCAGCTTACATCTACCATTTAAGCAATTAAACAAAGAAAACAAACAAAATAAGCAAACAAAATAGGAATTAGCCGTTCCAGAAAATTAAAACCTTGGCAAAGGAACAACTGCTAAGGGTCATTATTTTCGGTAATATCAAAAAGTTGTGGTAAAAAAGATAAACCCAAAGTTCAGGAAAGGCTCTGCACACATCAAAGAAAACCAACTGAAACAAGAGAAGAAATTCTAAAATGAAACTAATTCTAAATTCTAAAATGAAAATAAAAGGAAAGGCAATGGCTAATCACTCCTGTACAAATAATACATTGCGCACATCACTGAAGTATTTTGACAACATTCGGTTTCCAAATTATGCGATAGACCACTACAACCATCCCGGTCAAAAGGCGTTCATGTATATTAAAGAAGTATATTTAACTTTCATAAGTACTTCTGGAGATGAGAGTGAAGGCTTGTTCTCCAAGCTTGTGGGTTGGTTTCTGAACATTTTATTACCAGGCTAAGTGATATTTCAGTAGACAATGTTACCTAGCCTGGTAATGAAACATTCAGAAATCAACCCACAAGTACAGAGAACAAACCTTCACCATCATGCTACACATATTCGCCACTATTGCACTTCTGGAGACATTGACATAGTTAGACCAAAGGCACAGAAAAGTTTGATCGCCGATGATACCAGCACCAGTACTTTATTTTATTAGGATGCATTCAGTTAAAACCTGGAATGTAAGCAGAATGGATCAAGGAAAGTTTTAAACTATTAAATGAAAAAGAAGCCTATCAAGTGGGATGTTTCTGGGGAAAGTCCATTGGTTACTTTAATTCTGATTATTACTTCATATATTTGGTCATGAGGCTACATGATGGAATGGAACATCAACAATACTCCCCAAAAAACTTTGCTAAATATGTTTTCAGTTATAGTGCAATAAATGACAAGATATTATAAGAATTATTATAATAATATCTTCTTCTACTCAAAGTAATCATGGATCATAGCTAATGGAGGCAAATGAAAGTAAAATAGGTTTGCAAGGCTACAGTGAAATTATTTACAAATATAAGGATATGATAATATTTGAAACAGTGTTATTCCAGAATCAACTTCACTAGAAAATGAAGTTTGATGGGCAATGAGCAGGCATTAGAAAATGGATTCAGCAGAAAGACATGGTCAAAGAAATTACAGGACAGAGAATTATAACATACCTTTCAAAAGAAAAATGTCAATTATTGGATGCATTATCATTAAATTCATTATCAAGCTTATCAACCAGTGTTTTATGACATTAGGATTTCAAAAACATTTAAAAGCTTTCCCCCCCCCACTATATTCTGTACTTACCAGTTGGGACAGCTGGATCCATTGTTGGTTTCTCCCAGGTATTAATCTGCTCCCAAGTAAATCCATTGGTCCCTAGTGCCACACTATAACCACAGTTACTGTAATGTTCATCAAACGAACAACCACCTAAGGAAAAAAGAAATGAATAAACACTTCTGTCATAATTACTTCTATATCATCATGTTACTCCATTTAAATCACTGCCTTTTATAAAAACCCTGCAAGGTAAAAATAAAATGAATTTCTACTGCATTAAATTCATGCAGACGCCTTAAGAGAATGTAGCAAAGATTTCTAGAGTTTAATGTATATTTGGAACATACAGAATTGCCTTTTTTAAATTTAAGATTTTTTGGTTCCTTTGATTACTTTTTGAGCCACAGTGTTAAATCTTTACAGTCCAGAGAGTGGTGTCATATGCCAAACATTAACCTGAAGATTTGTGTACATGTCTCAGTTAGCTGTCCTCCAGGCATTGTGCAGTAAAACCTAATGTTCATAAAAGATCCTGCACAGTGGAAGAAGACAGCTTCATCTTTGGATAAGCAGCACATTAAAGTTTGACATTCTTCCACCACTTTCATTTTAGTTAGTAAATGTAAAGAATGTTAACAAGTATAAATGTTCCAGATGTATCTTTCTGTGGTCAATTCTCATTCCTTTGCTGGCTTCTGATTGGCATCTAGTTGGCCTTTACTAGATGTAGGACCAGTTAGGCCTTTTTGCTCCAATCCTATTTTGCACAGTGACCTAACAAACTTGTGGAGTAAACCTATAACCAATTATCCATAACCAATTATCATAACAGTGGGAGGCAAGACATCATTGTCTACAGTAGCAGCTGAAGGACTCTGATAGTACCTTTTCTGACTAATAATTTTTTATTAGAAGACATAATCAGTTGTTGGGAATCAGGTAGTCTATAAATTCAGTAGATAAATAAATAAGCAAGTTTGCTTCATAAGCTACAGGCCACTTCCTAAGATACATGGAATAGCAACTGATGAGGGATTTACATTGGAATGCGAAAAGTGGAAAAGGGAGAGGTTGGTTAGGTAGATGCAGGTTGTGTATGAAACAGATTGGTTTATCAATAATTGTGTGTAAGAAACTTTTTTTTCTAAGATATTTTGAGACAGCCTGAAACTTTGAGATATATGTTCAGTTCAGTAAACTCTCATTCACTGGTACAGTTAAAATCTCATTTTTCAAAAATGAACACTTTTGAGACCTGCAGTTCTTTGCAGGACAAATGGGACAAAGTTTGCACCAAAGAATTAATGGACATAGTTTTGTCATCAGAACTCAGAATCAGGATAAAGTAATATTACAGCATTTCAATCTCCCAGGATATTCTATTGCAGATCTCCCTGAACAGTGTAACAAAAATTCTCTGCTTTGCCAGAAGATATAAGTCCTCCTTTCTTAATAAATAGGGCAAAGGCTTGGATACAACCAATTACTTCTGAAATCTACCTAGGGAAATCACTGGAATCTGCCTTTGTTGTATAAGTCTGCTTATGTGTATAAGAAAAAAATCATAACAGAATGCATCCAAGCCACCATCACGATTTCTCCACCCCCCCCCCCCAAGAAATGGGTTTAATCATCTGACATAGTAATTATAATATAATTTGCTTCCTCTTCCCAAAAGACACTCAATATGAAACTCTTTTCACTCTGTAAATTTCAGAAAATACATGGGGCAAATTAGTATTGCTGAAAGAAACCATTGATTTGTTCTGCTATGCTCAATGCCAAGAAACAGGGCTGAATAGAGATGTGATTTGACCTCTTACTCCTTGCTGAGAGCCACATGCATGATCATACACAATGTAAGTAGCCTAGAGTAACAGTCCATTGTTATTGGGCAACAAAAATGTGTCAACAAAAGGGCCCTTCAAGGTCTCTCTGTTCAGAATTCACCATCTGCTTTATTTTCTGTAAGAAAATAAAACCATATCCCCATACCTATGATGTATTCTCACTGTGATTCCTTGTTGCACAATCTAGCTGGTGGACTAAAACTTTCTGGCTGACATTTCCAGGAATTAAAAAGTGTGTGTGTGGGGGGGGGGGGCAAACTGCTCATGGCTACTTTCCTCAAGCATTTTTGTAGCTTTTGAGAGAAGATAATTATGTACTTTTTCACACATCTAGTGAAATTTTGAACACATGCATTAATCAGAAACTCTGCTCTAGAAACAGAGGAAGGAACACCTTCAGAAAAGAGATAGGACTGGAAATTAAGTTGCTGCTTCGTTTATCTTGTATGTGCTAGGTTGAAATATTTTAACAATAAAAATATTTTAATAAATAAAATAAATGTCCAATTTAAATTTATGTATTTATTTATTTTTAATATATATATAGCTCCCAGCTCATATTAACATTAAACATTAAAAATTCACAGTTAAAAATGCACAATTTAACTCCACCACCACCACCAACACACACACACACACACACCATGGTGGCAACAACAGAATTAATTACTTGATTAATTCCAAATGGGGTCCCCAAGTTCACTGTCAAAACTATGCTTTCAAGGCTTTGCAGAATTAGCAACAAGATAGAGGCCAATCTTATCTCTGAGGGAATGACATTCTAAAAGGGAGAAACTTTTTCCTCGGTCCCACCAGATATACTTACTTGGGACCCGCAACATGCCCTGCCTTCCTGCTCTGGTGGGCTGGGTAAATGTAATTGGGAGACACACTTTGTCTAATAACCCAAGCCTTCTAGGGCTCTAAAGTTGATAAGCAGGACTTTGTATTGCACCTGAAGCCAAATCAGCAACCAGTACAGCTCCCACAAAAGAAGTGATACATGTGCAAATTTGTACTTGCACAAAACCACATGAGGCACTGCATTGGGAAGAAACAGAAGTTTCCAGGTGCTCTTTTAGGGCTGCCCCATGTAGAATGCATTACAATAGTCCAAATGGAAGAGAACAAGCTGTATTAAGGACATATCCAAATAGAGGGTGTTTGTGTTTATTTTTTACTTCCCAGTGGAGTCTAAATTTCTGCTATTTTTCTGACAAATGCCCATTTCATTAGTGAACACTAACATATATTTCTGAAACTGTCATCAAGTAACATAAACACTCCGAAACCTACAGATTATAGTAACATGAGAAATATTTTAAAAAAGAAACCTTGGCTGAAGGTGGGAAGAAAAACAAATCAGTAAAATATACTGCAGATACATTTGTTCCTACCTGTTTTCCATGTGTAAAAACACAAATATAACTGATATTGGATGCAAATCCTTATTTTGTAAGTAGTTTCTTGTTTCTAGCAGTTAACTTCTGGGCAATGCATTCAAACAAATGCCTGACTATTAAATGTAAAGTTGTTTCCCTGTTCAGGTATGTCTGACAGTAAGACAGGGTACTCATCTCCATTTCTTGGCAGAGGGAGCCAACCCAAGTCTAGCCAGTGATGAGACAGGCTGGGAAAGTATTTCAGCAGCATTGGTTGGGAAGGGGGTATAACTTTCATTGAGTCTTAGAGCTGGAAGAGACCTTGGAGTTCTTCTAATACAGCCCTCTGCTCTAGGAAAGTGATACCATCTTGATCAAATGGTTTTCCAGTCTAATTTTGAAAACCTCCAATGGTGGAACACTCACAACTCCTAGTACACCATCTGTCTACTTTTCTCCTTATAATTCTACAAAGAATCCAACTTTGGGCAAGTGTTCTGTTAACAATAGGTCATTGTTATTATCTATTACAACATATTCTGATACAGATTCTTGATTTATTTTGACATCAGCTGTGCCTTCTACTTTATACCAAGAACTCCACTGCTCTAATAATTTCAACCAAGACAAGAAACAAGACATCTGGTCTCCCAAGAGGCAAGGAAAACGAACAACTTATCTCTCAGAATTAAAAGAAAAATTCAAAAGCTCACAGGCCCATTGAAAGTTTGAAATAATCACTTATCATAACAAAGACTGAAATAACCCCGTTTTACACCGCAGGAGAGTATCAATGTTACCGCTTCTTTGAAATATCTTAATTAATTTTGAACAGAGCTATTATCAGTTATTGAGGCTTGCCCTGGCATTAAATATAAACTGGTCTGGCATAAATTGAGTGCTTCTTTTGAATATATAATTGAATTTGCAGAACTGTGTGCTGGGGGTACACAGATATGATAAAAACGACCTCACACCACTACATCTGATTCAATAAGTAATATGCCAATTAGCTTTTGATTTATTTATTTTAACATATTCAATTAGTGGATATTTTTGTAAAGTTATCCAATCTCAAAAACGCATAGACTAAAAGAATTCTAAACTGAAGGAGAAATTAAGTTTGGAAAGCTGGACTGATTGATAAATGTGCATCTTACAAAACAAATGTAAGAGCAATTATTATGACAAAGAGTTTCTACTGCTCCAATAGAAATAAGAAAATGATGTTTACATTCCTGTTTTTCATACTGTACTTAACACTGGAACCTTAATGGCCCACCTTGTTGGTTGGGATCTATGTCCAAACGTGATTCTGAGGCTATTCTGTTGGAAGCTAATACTACAATTACACCTTACCATCACAAAACATAGCCATGTATAGCAGAATGTTTGAAGCATTTCATCTAAAATGGAAGGTATCTTTATCCATGTTAGCTTGTTGTAGGAAAAAGGAACAGGTTTATTGTCAGGTTTGGAGAATAAGGAGACCAGACATCTGACCAGTGACTTCAACTCTTTAATAATAACAGGAATCAGAATGGAACAGAGCAAAGCTATGGGCAGCAGTAGCCCTTTTATAGGGTTAGCTGCTACCTTATTAACCAATGAGCTTGCAACAGGTTCAAACTATTAACCAATAAGAAGTATTCCCAAAGTGGCCAATCAGGGTCTAGTTCTGGCCCAATCCCAAGTTGTTGTACAAGGACCAATCAAGTCTGCAGGTTTTCAACCCCTGATTTGCATTTAGAATATCAACTTTTATTGATTCACAACATTTATAATACCTTAAAGATGGATGACATAAAAGACTGCAACGATGACACCATTAAAGCTAACAACTTTAACACATTCTTTGGCTCATTATTTGTAAACAGCAATGATTCATGCCCAGTATTTCCTAGCCGAACCACAGAAAACTACAATGATCTAATACATATCAATTTTACAAAAGACAATGTTGAAAAAGCACTACGCAATCTAAAACCATCTCTATCTATTGGACCAGACTGAATATGTGCCTACTTCTTAAAAAAGCTATCCACTGCCATAGCAGAACCTCTAAGCATAATCTTTGAAAAATCTTTCAGGACCAGCTCTTTGCCTAACCTATGGTCACAAGCCACGGTCATCCCCATCTTCAAAAAGGGAGACCCCACTCTAGTTGAAAATTACAGACCAATCTCCTTATGCTGCATCACCTGTAAAGTCATGGAATCAATTATTAACCAATCCATTATCCTTCACTTAGAGACAAACAACCTATTCTCTAATAAATAATTTGGTTTCAGAAAAAAAAACCTATCCTGCAATCTGCAACTCTTACACTGCAAAAACATATGGACTACACAACTCGATCAGGGCAAAACAATAGATGCAATCTACATAAATTTCTGTAAAGCCTTTGATTCAGTGGTACATGACAAACTACTCCTAAAACTAAAATCTTATTGTATCTCTGGACAACTGCATAATTGGATAGAAGCATTCCTGTCAAACAGACAACAAATGGTCAAAATTGGGAGCGTCCTATCAAACTCTGTACCTGTCAACAGTGGTGTTTCCCAAGGCAGTGTTCTAGGACCAACTCTCTTCATACTCTACATAAATGACCTCTGTGATCATATTAAGAGCATGTAAAGCTGTTCAATACCACAGAAAATACTGCTACCGTTCAAAAAGATCTTGACTATGTATCAGAATGGTCAAACAAATGGCAACTTCAAATCTCAACAAATAAATGCTCTGTCTTACATATTGGCAAAAAAAAAAATCAGAAAATAAAATACAAGCTGAATAGTCAAGATCTTGTTGATGATCCAAGCTCTGTAAAGGACCTTGGAATACTCATCTCTAATGATCTAAGTGCCAGAGCCCACTGTAACTACATAGCCAAAAAGGCATTAAGAGTTGTTAACCTAATCCTACGTAGCTTTTTCTCTGGTAATATCACACTACTAACTAGAGCATACAAAACATTTGCTAGACCAATCCTCGAATACAGCTCATCAGTCTGGAACCCATATTACGTATCTGATATTAGCACAGTTGAGAAAGTCCAGAAATATTTCACAAGAAGAGTTCTCCACTTCTCTACTTGTTGTAGAATACCTTATGCCACCAGACTTGAAATTCTAGACCTAGAAAACCTTGAATTACGCCGTCTTCGGTCTGATCTAAGTATGGTATATAAAATCATACATTGCAATGACTTACCTGTCAATGAATACTTCAGCTTCAACCATAACAACACAAGAGCACACAATAGATACAAACTCAAGGTTAACCGCACCAAACTTGATTGCAGGAAATACGACTTCAGCAACAGAGTGATCAATGTCTGGAATACTCTACCTGACTCTGTGGTTTCTTCCGCAAACCCCAAAAACTTTAACCTTAGACTGTCTACTATTCACTTCACCCCTTTCCTAAGAGGTCTGTAGGGGGCGTGCATAAGCGTACCAATGTGCCTACCGTCCCTGTCTTATTGTTTCTTTTATTTTTCTTATATGTACCCATTTCATGTATTCATAACTATGTATATACTTATACCTATTATGTTGTAAGTGATTAACAAGTAAAAATAAATAAATAAATATAAATCAAGGACCAGACACATTCAGACATCACTCATATTCTTTAAGAAAAATACCTCTGACACATTCCATTTTTGCAACACAGCTTCCCTCATCTATGAATCTTTCTTCCTGAATATCCGAAACTAATAGTGAATTAAAGTTTGACAATATAGACATGAGTAAAAAGGATATACTAAACCAAGATTTGACAACCTGTTGCTTTAGAGTCATAAGCAATTAATAAATCTCTTTTGTGGCTTCCAAGCTCCCTTCAACTACAACTGCTAAACATCATTGGTGTGCTTTCTCTCATTTTGAATAAAATATGACACATCAATTATAACATATGTTAAGCCATAAATATCAATTAAGCCTTAAATTGTAAAGTGTGGAAGACCAAAATGAGATAGTCTTTCACCGAGACTTTGTGACACAATTACCACATTATAAACTCAGTATCTCCTGGTTTCATATCGTTTTCCACATTCTGCCATACAGTGGTCCTCATTTAAAGATTACTTGTTCTGAGACCATTAGAATTTACAACATTGCTGAGTGAGTGGTACTTAAGAAAAATCCTCATATTTATTGCAGCCACAGTATCCCTGCAGTCATATGTTCACCAACCAAATGCTCAATGCCTGGCTCAAACTACAACATCACAGTATCCTATTTTTGCACTTGAGTCAAAAACACTAAGGTGCTTCTAGGTTGAAAGGATTAGCTAGTAAGAGAGGATACCCAGTTGGGGGCTCCTTTCATGCTCCTGGCAGATGCTGGAGTGAAGGACAACAGCTCAATCCCGCCCATGGCAGTTCTTGGGTCTCAAACACAGGCTTGCTAACCTCCTGCCCAGTGTTTCAACCACTTGAGCCATTGTGCTCATTTATAGCATCTGATGATCAAGCAAAGTTACTGGGATACTGCAGAAGACCACAAATGGCAACCACATAATGTTGTGGCCCCAATTCCCGAGCCTATGCTGTCAGAGGAAGAGGACCTGGAAGATGAGGAGGAGGAACTGGGAATGCCTTCCTCCCCAGGACCTTCCTCTCTGGCAATGCCTTCCTCCCTTATAATGCCTCAGGTTCCATCAGACAACCGAGAGGAACAGCCTGAGATTAATCAGGAGGAAGACATATCGGAGCAGCCCCTGATAGGGAGTAAAGAGGAAGAGTGTTGGCTCGATCTTAAGCAGCATTGTAGGGAGAAACGTGAGCAGCAACGTAGGAGGCATGGGAGGGTCAGAGAGTGAGCTGAGTCATTGAGCCACACCCCACAGGGGATAAAAGTGGGTGTGTTTTCTCCTGAAACTTTGTACGGGACAAAGTTTAACCTGACTTCAGATTTTCTTTCTGGACTGCCTTGTGATTTTCTGTGAGTAAAACTTTATTTACTATCAGTCCGGACTTGGCAGGCAGGACGTGTTGGAATGCCAAGAATATTATCAGTTCCAAAGAATTAACTCTGTGAAGTCCGAGCCAGCCTGCCTGCCTGTGTTTGTGTGAGTTTGTACTCTTTCATCTTTTGGGAAAGAGGAAAGGCAAGACAGAACATTTTTGTCCTGTACCTGACTTAAACCATCTTTTACCTAAGATGGACCAGCAGCACCAGTTTCAACAACAGCTGCAAGATGAAAATCAAACTCTACAACAGCAAGTGGCTCAATTAACAGCCCAACTTGCTTTGCTGCAGGCTCATGCAGCTCCTCCTCCCCCTCCCCATCGGAAATGCCCGGTGGCTGCGCCAGATAAGTTTTCTGGGCAGCCTGAGATGTTCCTGGCTTTCATGGGACAGTGCCAGTTATTTATGGCTATGAGGCCAGAGGATTTCCCAGATGACCGGGCTTGGGTGGGGTTTGTGATAAGCCTCCTTTCTGGCTCGGCCGCCAGATGGGCCACACCTTTGTTGCTCAAGAACAGCCCATTATTAACTAATTACCAGGGTTTTTGGCAACACATGTGCCACATATATGAAGACCCCATACAAGTGCAGATGGCAGCCAGGCATTTTAAGGACCTTCGCCAAGGGAGGCGCCCCCTGCAAGAGTTTATTTCTGAATTTTGGCTTTTGTGCCTGGACTCCAACTGGAATGATGCAGCGTCAATGGACGCCTTCCAGGATGGCCTGGCAGATGAGCTGCAGGATGAGTTAGTTCAAGTGGAAATCCTTGACGCTCTGGTGGTGCAAATCTTGGGCATCGATGCACGTCTCCAATGGCAAAAGAACCGTCGCACCATCCAGGAGCAACCATCTGCATCTGTACCACAGCGCCCTATGCTAACAGCGCCCTGGGTCACCCAACGTGTCATGGCAATGGCCGAGGAGCCAATGGAGTTAGGAGCAGTCAGACCTCGCCTGAAGGCCCAGGAGTGAACGCGGAGATGCCAAGGGGTTTGTGCTTGTATTGTGGGGGGCAGGACATTTCGCTATTTCTTATCCTTTAAAGCGAAGTGGGGTGCTCAAGCCTGTGCCTGAATCTCGGCGTGATCAGTTGGGAAATGGAACAGGTCCGACCTGGGGGGAAACCCTAGGCTGGGCACATATCAAACACCCACCTGAATTAGCGGAGGTTGACTCTGGGCTTCCTCGGCATCTGATTTTGGACACTCGGGTTTTCTTGGCTAACCAGTCAGAAGGGATTCCAGCGAATGCGCTGGTGGACTCAGGGGCCACGACTAACTTTATGGACCAGGCCTTTGCGGCTCATTTTGATGTCCCCTTGGTTCCGGTGGAACCTCCGATGAGGGTCGAGACTATTGATGGGCGGGAACTTATTGCAGGATCCATTAAATTCGCCACCCAGCCTTTGTGCCTAGTCATTGGAGAACATGAGGAGGCGATCCACTTTTATGTCACCGCGGACCTCCATTTCCCATTAGTCCTTGGCATGGCTTGGCTTAGGATTTATGATCCTCAGGTGGCATGGTCACGGAATGCCATGTCTTTTCCAAGTCAACTACGCCATCTGGGAAAAAGAGTTACTGGCTATCAAGGCTGAGTTTTAGGCTTGGCAACATCATCTCGAGGGCACCCGACACAAGGTGGAGGTCTGGACAGACCATCGGAATTTAGAACACTTGTCAACAGCGAGAAAGTTGAACCAGCAGCAGATCTGGTGGTCATTGTTTTTTGCCCGGTTCAACTTTTCTGTGACCTATATCCCAGTGGTCACAATCGGAGGGCGGATGCCCTGTCCTGCAAACCCGAGTACCTTTTCCCCAAGGACCCCCTTCCTTCATGGACGGTGCTTCCAGCAGAATCCTTGGCCGCAGTCCAGGAACCGGTGGATTTGCGGACTCAGGTGAGAGAGGCGCAGTGCCTAGACGCTTGGTTGCAGCAGAGGATAGGGGAGATTGGACGTGAATCCCCATGGACTTTGGAGGAGGGTTTACTCGAGCATCTGGGCCGGTTGTACGTAACCACGGGGACGCTTCGAGCCCTTATTATGACTCAGTGTCATGACAACCCTGCAGCCGGCCATTTTGGGTTTTTTAAGACCCTTACTTTTTGGTGGCCTCAAGTACGGCATGATGTCCACGCCTATGTCACGTCCTGTGTACCATGCAGGCAAGCGAAAACCACAACGGGTGCACATCCTGGTCTCCTCCAACCTCTGCCGACTCCAGAAAGACCACGGGAAGCGATTTCCATGGACTTCTTGACTCATTTACTGCCGTCCTCTGGATTTACAACTGTGCTGGTGGTGGTCGACATGTTGACAAAAATGGCCCACTTCATTCCGTGTCGTAAATTGCCAACGGCCCGTACAACTGCCCGTTTGTTCTTGCAGCATGTTTTTCGTCTCCATGGTCTGCCAGACAGGGTAGTTTCTGACCGCGATGTACAATTTACAGCCCAATTTTGGAAAAGCCTGATGACCGCGTTACAGGTGCAGGTGTGCTTGATGTCAGCGCACCATCCAGAGACTGATGGGGGGACGGAGAAGATCATTGGCATTCTCGAGCAATACTTGTGTTGTTTTGTAAACCAATGGCAGAACAACTGGGCTGATTATCTCCCTCTGGTGGAGTTTGCATTCAACAACTCCCAGCACACCTCCACCCAAATGACACCATTTTATGGTAATGTGGGGTACCATCTGCGGTTCTTCCCTTTGACACTATTAGATTCCCCTGTTACTGAGACCCGGGAATTCCTTTCGGAACTTCACTCAGTTCAGCAGTTAGTTCGGCAGCAACTGATACAGGCCAAGGAAGATTACAAGCAGTTCGCAGATCGCTCTTGACAGACAACGCCTCCACTGGCTATAGGAGACCATGTGTGGTTATCCACAAAACATCTTCAGGTTGACCGCCTGATAAAGAAGCTGGACCATCAGTTCATCAGCCCATTTCCCATCAAGGTGGTCATCAACCCCCGTAGCCTATCGACTGACTCTACCGTGCTCCATGCGAATTCATCCAGTCTTCCACCATTTCCTTTTGGTCCCTGACACCCCTTCGTGTTATCTCCGACGTCCCACAGCTGTTGATCCACCACCTGTGCCCGGTAAAGATGGCACAGTAGAAGGCAAGGTGGCCAGCATTAGGGATTCCTGCTGGATGAAAGGGCGGTTCCAGTATTTGATCGAGAGGCAGGGGGATGGTCCGGAGGCCCTCTCCTGGGTGGATGCTTCCGCGATCCACGCCCCGGACCTTATACGGATGTCCCATGACCATTTCCCCTTGTGACCACATCCTGACCATCAGACTCGGAGGAAGGGCCCTGCGGTGGGGGATAGTGTTGTGGCCCTGATTTCCAAGCCTATGCTGTCAGAGGAAGAGGACCTGGATGATGAGGAGGAGGAACTGGGAATGCCTTCCTCCCCAGGACCTTCCTCTCTGGCAATGCCTTCCTCCCCAGGACCTTCCTCCCTGATAATGCCTCAGGTTCCATCAGACAACTGAGAGAAACAGCCTGAGATTAATCAGGAGGAAGGCATATCAGAGTAGCCCCTGACAGGGAGTAAACAGGAAGAGTGTTGGCTCGATCCTAAGCAGCATCGTAGGGAGAAACATGAGCAGCAATGTAGGAGGCGTGGGAGGGTCAAATTGTGAGCTGAGTCATTGAGCCACACCCCACAGGGGATAAAAGTGGGTGTGTTTTCTCCTGAAACTTTGTACGGGACAAAGTTTAACCTTACTTCAGATTTTCTTTGTGGACTGCCTTGTGATTTTCTGTGAGTAAAATTTTATTTACTATGAGTTAGGACTTGGCAGGCAGGATGTGTTGGAATGCCAAGAATATTATCAGTTCCAAAGAATTAACTCTGTGAATTCCGAGCCAGCTTGCCTACCTGTGTTTGTGTGAGTTTGTCCTCTTTCATCTTTTGGGAAAGAGGAAAGGCGAGACAGAACATAAGCTCCTCACATAATGATGCATAAAGATTCCTTAATAACAGAAATTAAAAGTGCAGGAATTTCTGTCATTAAGCAGTACAGTCCTATTGGCCATGCCAAAACCCATGAGGCACGCAAGTTGCTTGAAGCCATGCAGTCTCCCAACGGGTTCATCAAACCAGGCTTGTGATTCAATCAGCTTTGAAAATCAATCAGTCTTGTGATTCACTCAGTCCCAAGACTAACCAACTACCCAGAACCTACATAAATGAATAAGACACTTCATCCCAAAACCCTACTAAAGATGTTATCTAGTTTGTTAATGAACTGTCCAGGAGCTAAACAGCAAGCTCAGAGAACAGACCCCTACAAAAACCTACAACCCGAGCTACAAATATTTTCAACAATTTCTAACTTTTGTCTTTGTTAAGTGAGGCCTACTGTATGTGTAGCATAGTTTCTACTTCCACCTCCAAAATTTCTCAAAGTATTCCATGCTAAGATGCCTATTACTAATAAGATTCAGAATGATAGAGAGAAGTTCTTCACTCACAGCATCAGCAGAATTCTGTCTTCTAGAACTGCAATGCAAATTGATATAATTAAGGAAGAAGGACTACCATTCTTGATCTCTTTTGCTGTTCATTTTCTCCATAAACAATTCAACTACTTCCTACTGGATTCTCTTTTTCCCCTACCTCAATCACTATATTATTTCTTAACACAGATTAATATGCGACATATTAATTACATTGATTTCTAAAAAAGAATTGCAAACTATTTCACCCTTAGAACTATTGTTTCAAGTGCTCCAGGTTTCAAGGAGGAAAGACAATTCAAGAATTTTGTTCTGTATTTAGACTAAAACCTGGTCATTTCAATCAGTATCATCCTGAGTGCTCTAATCATAAAACTAAATTTGGCCAAAACAAGATGTTATGATTGACCTCAGGATTAGCCATTTATATATTCTGAGATTGAAATCAAGGATATGTTGTCTGAAAGCATTCTCTCTCTTTTTCTAATTGTAAAAAAATACCTAAGATTTTGATCAAATAGAACTCAGCAACTCAGAATTTCCAGTTCTGACTGGAAAACAATTAGGGGTAATGAAATATAATTAAGATTAGAAATTTAAGAAAAAGAAACAACTCAAGAATCAAATATTATGAAGGTGTAACGTTTCAATTTTTTGGAGCATTTTGCAAAATTCATTTGTAATATAAATGTACCCATCCATTCAGTAATGCTTTTCCATAGTCCATTTAAAAAGTCCAGATTGTCTGGGAATATTCTATTCTTGTAATCATCAAAAACTGTAGCCAACGATTTGTATTATTGCTCTCCAATATTTCATATTATATATATTAATGGTTAGTACTAAGCCAAGCAAACATTACTAATGTATTGGATGACAGATTCTGTGTGGACTATCCAGAAACTTAATTTCACGCCACTCTATTATCAGAGGCAACTATAAAAACATGTGATTATATTATTGCGATATAGTACCTTTACTGCCATCTGTTCTACTTCCAGACAGAATATAAACAATTAAAGTTCAGATTATGAGCTATTAAGCTGTATATGATTTGGAGCCCGAAGATATGAACCATCACATTCTCCTCTGCTGGTTTGCCCAGACTTTAAGATCTTGCAAAAAGATCCTTTTTCAGTACCACCAAAATGAAAGATCCATTTGATGGAAAAAGAGATAAAAACATTAATAGCAGCTTTGGAACCCACTGCCAGTGGAATTTGTTTGTTTGTTTGTTTGTTTCTCAACCAAATGAAAATAAATATTTTTCAGACAGGCATTTCACATTTAACCTGATTTATCTCCTAAGTTAAGTATTAATTACTTTCTTGTTTCTTATGTACTTATGTTTCTGTTCTCTTTCTAATTGTTTCATTTATGTTTAATTCTAACTGCATTTCATTGTACTATTATTAGCTGCTCTGAGCATAATTTCAGTATACAATAGATACACACACACATTATATTTGTGGGGTTCTTGGCACCCTTTTGGTTTCTTTCTTGCAGATGTTTCATTACCCAACTAGGTAACATCATCAGTACTAGAAGGCAGTGGAGTTTACTCTCTGCTTATATACAAATGGCTTTCCCTGTTAGTGTTAGTGGCAGCATTCTTGATGGTTTATTTATTAGTCTGCTGTTTACTGAATTGGTAGTTCTTGGATTGGGGTATTATTTACTGCTTGGTAAATAATACTGTTTGCATGAGTGTTACTTGCTGGTCAGGAGGTGATGTGATTTTTTTTTTAAAAAGTCCTTTTAAAAATATTTTTATATATTTAATGTATTTGCCTTTTCAAGCATGTACAAATTATAATAATTGTAAAGGGAAGTACCCACCTTATGGGTGAATGCTTCTTTTTGACTTGGAGCTCAACCAGACACTGTCCTGGTGGATTGGGCAAAAATGCACATATTGGCTAAGGAATAAAGTTACTATAAGACAATATCATGTTTTACATATAAGTTTATTCTACTCTTATTCTACTCTTAGATGGTTTCTACCAGACATTGTGAAAGAGTAAAGACACAAATGCAAAGGTAGGTATAGATGTCCTTTTCTATTTCAAACAAATTCATCAAGTTTGGTTTGTCAAATTTGTGATCTTTCAAAATGTGTGGATTTTGGTTCCCATTTTTCTACATATGTACTTTTTTTTTTTTTTTTTTTTGCAATTTTACCTTGCATACAGTTTTTTTTTACAATAATAAATAAACCATTTGCTATTATTATGCATTTCTGAACATATATTTGGTGAAATCATTCATCATTATACAAGTTGCCCTCATGCAGTTTAATATAGTTTAAAATAATCCAAAGGTGCAAAATGTAGAATAATTAATAATTCACTGTATGTATATCAGTTCAGTCATGTGAAATTAGATAGGTTGTATTCACAGGCAATTAAGTGCTAGAGATAAATTCTATCTTCCATACAACTTACTCTATAAGACCAATTCAATAGAACCATATTTTCTAGTTATGACACATAGCAAGGAACTTAGATAGTTGGCTATGCCATTTACCGTATGTTCTTTGATAGAATGAACACAAACATCAAAGCCAACAGCTTTTCTTACTCCCTATATAGTAATTGCATCAAAATGGTGGTTGTTTTGACTACAAGCTGTATTTTTACAAGGAAAATATGGATTAGGCAAAGAAAAGATCTGTACTGCATCCCTGTTAGTGGGATTAATATACATACGCATGCACAT